CTCAAAACTTTGGAAGGCCCAAATGGATATGAGTTGCGCTGTGGCTCTCATGTTGACCGATTGCTAAGCAAGATGCCACCATCGAACAGGGATGGATTCGTAGAGTACTGCTTCAGCCGAGGTATTCTACAGACTGGTACGGATCGCACCTATACCTTACCTGATCTATCAGAATGGCTACAAATGAAGTCGCAAGCAAAGCGTATTTCTAATAAAGCAGCTACAATGTATCAAACAGAAAATGCTAGATTTATTAAGAAAGAGCAACCAACCCAAGATCTACGAATGGCAAGTCTTACCGTTCGGCACCACGTGCAGCCCGTGCTGTGCCATATATGCACTCCAGATGATTGCTCAGACCCACTCCGATGGAGACCCAGTACTGGAGAGTACAGTTAAAGGTTCCTTTTATGTGGATAACTGCCTCCATAGCCTTCAAACTGTTGCTGAAGCTAGAGCATTAGTAGACAACTTACGACAACTTTTGCTCACCTGTGGATTTGAGCTCCGTCAATGGGCCAGTAACAAACCAGAGGTCATTCAGCATCTCCCTCCTGATGCTAGATCTTCCAATAGCGAACTTTGGCTATCACAAAAGAGTACTGACCTCCTAGAAGGGACACTAGGGCTACTATGGAACTGCCTCTCAGACTCATTCAGTTACAAACCCAGCCAGATCGAATGCTTTGAGCCCACTTTACGCAATGTCTACAAAGTGTTGGCTTCTCAATATGATCCAATCGGTTATCTAATTCCATTTACAACTAGAGCGAAAGTACTGGTCCAGGATTTGTGGAAGACCAACCTAACATGGGATGACCCAATCACATCTGAGAGTTTGTTAAGCCGATGGCAAACCTGGCTACAAGAGCTCCAAGGTTTGAATCACATTGCTGTCCCCAGGTGCTACAGCCCCTCTGACTGGCAGGCAGACAAACTTAATCGAGAATTGCATATATTCTGCGATGCATCCGAAAGGGTTTATGGCTCTGTAGCCTACATGCGCACTGAAAATGATCAAGGACATGTGCACATTTCATTTGTGTTAGCCCGCTCAAGAGTAGCACCTCGGAAACAAATGACAATCCCCCGATTAGAATTGAGTGCAGCACTCACTGGGGCACAAGTAGCTAACATACTCCAAGAAGAATTAACTGTTGACATCAATCGCATCATTCTCTGGTCAGACTCATCTACAGTGCTACAATGGCTTAAATCTGACTCGTGCAGATACAAAGTCTTTGTTGGAACAAGAGTGGCCGAGATCCAGTCCCTCACCAACATTAATTCGTGGAGATATGTTGATTCAGCGAACAACCCTGCTGATGTCATAACCCGAGGTCAGACCTTAAACAGTTTGACACCACCTTGCCACTGGATTAATGGACCACCATTTCTTTATCAACCAGATTCATGCTGGCCCACTTTACCAGCAGATGAACCAGAACCAGTGACAGAATTAAAAAAGTCAGTAATCTGTCTGCATGTTCTTACCTGTCCAGACACCACCCTCCCTGATGTCAATCAATTCAGCACATGGGCTGAACTATTAAAAGCCACTGTGACATCCCTTCACGGGGCGGCTACACCTCAAACCCAGCCGCAAGATGACTCAGGTAGTTACATTCTAGCAGAGAAACTTCTCCTACAACAGTCTCAAAGAGATTCCTTTCCGGAAGAGTTTAAAGCTCTTACCACTAATAGACCATTACCATCCAACAGCAGATTAGCATCTTTATCACCTGAGTATGATGAGGTCAGTGGACTTATTAGGGTTGGAGGGAGGTTAAGACATGCTCATCATCTGGAACTAGACACGACACACCCTGTTGTTCTTGATCCACAACACTACCTCACAAAGCTTCTAATCAAGGATTATGATACCACCCTACTACATCCTGGACCAGAGCGAGTCTTCGCTGAGGTAAGAAGACGATACTGGATTCTGAGAGGAAGGGAAGCCATCAAGAAGCATCAATACTTGTGTACAGACTGCCAGAAATGGCGTGCTAAGCCAAAAATGCCTAAGATGGCTGACCTTCCACCGACACGTCTTCGTTTGTACAAACCCCCATTCTACTCCACTGGAATGGATTGCTTTGGCCCATTCACAGTGAAGATTGGCAGACGGACAGAGAAAAGGTGGGGAATAGTTTTCAAATGTTTGACCACTCGTTGTATTCATCTTGACCTAGTAGAAAGTCTTGATACAGACGCATTCCTAATGGCTCTCCGCAGATTCATATCACGAAGAGGGAAACCATTTGAGCTCCTTAGTGATAATGGGACAAACTTTGTTGGAGGAGACAAAGAATTGAGAGCAGCCTACGAATCTATGATTCCCCAACTCAGAGAGCAATTGGCAGAACAACAAATTACATTTAGATTTATCCCACCTGGAGCCCCTCATTTTGGGGGAGTTTGGGAACGGGAGGTTAAGTCAGTAAAACAGGCCCTTAAAGTAGTATTGAAGGATCTAACAGTGACTGAGACTGTACTGCGAACAGTGCTCATCGAGGTAGAAGGCATCCTAAATGCCAAGCCTCTGGGATATGTGTCTTCCGATGTATCGGATCTGGACCCTATTACACCCAACATTCTTTTAATGGGTCGCCATGATTCTTCTCTCCCACAAGTATTTTACGACTCAAGTAATGTTCTGGGAACCAGAAGATGGAAACATAGTCAAATACTTGCTGACCATTTTTGGTCTAGATTCATACACTACTATTTACCAAATTTACAAGAAAGGCAGAAGTGGCGCAAAGATGGTGGGGAAATTGGGCTAGACCAAGTGGTACTGATAGTGGACCCACAACTCCCACGAGCATGTTGGCCAGTAGGGAAAGTAACTAATACCTTTCCTGGACTTGATGGGCGAACCAGATCGGTTGAGGTTCAGGTACGCAACCGCACTTATGTTAGACCCGTATCTCGTTTAGTCCCTCTACCGAAACACACTGATGATGACCCTGTTAATCCCGATACTTAGTTAGGATATCTCACTATTTCAAATGTACTCACTTACATTTGGGGGCGGCTGTGTGAGAAAGCCCTTTAACGACCCCTAGAGGAAGGTTTGGTGATAGGGAGTTCAGTGACAAAAAGGCAGTCATGACGGCTGGAGAGACACAGGCTGCCGATCGGCTGGCTGGACTGTGCAACCGATTTGTACATGTTTTACACCAGTGTGTAATTGATTATGGGTGAGTCCCTTTTGTTTGCTATCCTTTGATCCAGATAAATGTTCTGATTACTGTTATTGTCTTGTAAATCACACTGTATGTCTCGTGATTCCCACGTGCGCCATAACCGAAAGTGAAACCACATGTTATCAAACCCAACGATCTCATTTCGGACTTTGAACTGGATATTCACATTGATTCATAGTTTGATATAACCTATTTTATGTATCTATTTAATATATATCACCTGATTGAGTCAATAATTCGTAAAATGTTCACCGTTGGGTAGATTTAGCCTGTACAATAATACTAAATGGTCATTCCAATTGCTTACAACAGTATGTTTAATTCATCATTGTCTTTATAATTCACAATTACTCGATGTATGTTTATTTGTATCTTAATTAATAAGTTTGTTGTATAATTTACTAACATTAGCAATTGTTCCTCTTTGTATTTTTCTGTCTTATAGACCACATGTGTGTAATGACATTCCAGCTTGATTAAACTTACAAAACTGGGAATCCTTCTCCTGTTCTCTTACCGGAACTACCCCTTTCATCTTGTGTGCACGACACCTGAACCCCCTGAGCGTCCCATACGCTCGTATAAGCAGGGAGATTTACTTGCATTGTCTGGTATGAAACGGATCAAATAAATGACTCGAATCCTTTAAATCTGGATCTAATGCAATGAGCTGAAAGCAGAAACTTCCATCAGAATTGCAGGAGTAAACTGATTACTAATTTATAATAATAAAAGGAAATGATCACTTACCAAGAGTGAGCCCAGAAGCCTCTTCAGGCTCCTCAAGAACTGACTCTGGCTCTGACTCAGACTCAGACTCAGACTCAGACTTGGACTCGGGCTCTGGCTCGGGCTCTGGCTCAGGTTGAGGTTCAGGCTCAGGCTCAGGTTCAGGTTCAGGTTCAGGCACAGGCTCTGGCTCGGGCTCAGGCTCGGGTTCAGGTTGTGGTGTAAGATGCTGGACTACATCCGTGTCACAGCACAGGAAAGGGCGCGTTGCAGCCTTCAATACTCTCTTGAAGAAAGCAGAGACTCTTTTGCCTTTCCTTCCTTTCTTGGGTTTTTCTAAAATGAAGAAAACAAACAGAAACATCTCCATGAACAGAGCTGCAGCTACAGCGCTCAGCATATTCATATATGCAGTACACCCCATTTAGAAAAGGAATGTTTTTATCCATTTCTCAGTGAATCTGGGTAATATATATTGGTGCATTTGAACAAAACAGATTTATCAAACAGATTCATTTATTACAATCATAATTTAGTCACAGAACATCTTTAGAAATGGAAAGATAAAACAATTAATATCATGCAAAATATTGCAAAATTTACAAACTACAACATTTCAACAAAATTGTCAATATTTTTTGTTTCTCTTTGATTTTTGCTAATTTTGAAAATTTAATTGAATATTTTCCCTGAACATATACATTTGGGCTACTTATTTTTGAACCATTATTTAGTTATTTTGTTAGATAAGCTCCAGATTTGGCTTCAGTTCTGACTGAACTAATGTACATGCACAAATATAATATTATAAAGCCTCCTATAGAAAATCTGAATTTAAATGAGAGATTTGTGGGGGGTGCACTCATATATGTTTAGCACTGTATTAATTAATACACAACCAACAGTACGGCAAATGACACTGTCTGATTTATAAGCTAAAAACAACAAAGCATAAAAAATAACAGACGGCAGAAATAAAATGAACCAAATTCAGGATGACTCACCATCAGTCCCATCAATATCAGAGGGGTCTTGAACAGACGGAGGCGACTCAGGACAGGCCGAATCTGCATCCGTCATGTTCTTAATATTGGAGAGGTCATGGACACTGATTGGCTGGGGATCTTCCCAGACCTGGCCTGGCAGACACACCAGCTCAGTATCAACATGACCTGTGAGGGCCGTCGAGGACTCTGGACGGGCCGGATCTGCATTCGGCACATCTGCTGTTTGCTCGATGCTGAAGGGGCCCGGAACACTCAACGGCTGAAGATCTTCACAGACCTGGCCTGGCAGCCACACCGGCTCAAGGTCTGCATGTGCTGCGACGGTCCTGGAGGGACCTGGAACAGGCAGATGCTGGAAATCATCGACATCTGACCGTGGTTCAAAGGGAACCACTCTGTTCCGGTCACAGCAAAGGAAAGGGCGCTTCACAGCCTTCCATGCTCTCTTAAAGAAAGCAGAGGCTTTATTCCCTTTCCTCCTTTTCTCTGTGTTTTCTGAAATAAAGGAAATGAACAGGGAAATATTAGAAAACTCTTTAATCACAGGTTTAAAATAAACACACTGTTGTAAATGAGAAATATGAAAGACAATCACACAAAAGAAACAACAACAATAAATGTACAATTATAATAGAAAATGTTTGAAAACTGAAATTAATTATGTGGAATTGCAAATCATTTCTATGATGTAAAATGACAAACACAAGCTGACAAATAGTCGGTAAGTCATAAGACCATATTAGACATCAGGAAAAAACCTAAAAGCAACTATTTAGCAAAAATATTTACTGTTAAATTATTGAGGAGAAAGTCGGAATGCGTGAATATAAAACCAACTTTACCTCAATTGTATTAATTCATCCCTGCTTAAACAAATAAAGACTTAAATATAATATTCTCACTCAGTTTGCTAAAATATAACAAATATTCCTCCACACCATCAAAAACTAAGAAAATTACTGTGCAGGTCTACACGAAGGATTTAAATTAAAGTAAAATTAAAATGATTTTTATCAGAAACATTAACAAGGCACAATTTCTGTTGAGTGGAAAGGAGAAACTTAAAAACCAGAATGTCATTACATATAAGAGCAGGGCTCTATCACAAAAATATACAAAACCATAACTACACACACAAAAACACATTACAATGAAGAGACGTTGCATATTTGCAACACGAATAACCTTACATGGCAATATATTAATATTATTTTACTTTTAACTTCATAATTTACTGTATTATTAAATAATACGTGGAAATACACCGTTTTTGTAAACTCTCATCTCACCTGTTGGGCTTCTCATCACGGTAGGAGGTGAAGGAGAAGCCATCGTGTCACTTCGATGATTTTCGTTGACAAACTCAGTCGTGATCGTATTAACTCGATTAAAAAACGCAGCTGTCGTGTTATTTGCCATTTAAGATAAAAAACAAGTCGCTAAAGTCGTTAAATCAATGTTCACTATACTCGTTCGTTTGTCACTCTGAGGAAAATCTGAATTCTGTCCAGTGACGTAACGGCAATAAAATTCGTTCTATTTATTCGTCATCGGTGGTGGAGGAGAGGGGGGGCGCAGGCCGCGGGGGGGATCCAAGATGGCGTTCAAGTTCGTTGAGCGTGTTATAATATAAGTTCTGTCTGCAAATAAAAACCCAAACCATCGCAATCTTTTGTCTGAGAGACGAGGCGATTTTTGCAGAGCATTTCTGTGCGAATCCTGAGAGACGAGGCGACTTTTGCAGAGCAATTCTGTGCGAATCCTGAGATTTCTGAGGCTGTTCGAGGATTTCCGAGAGAAGACTAACGAAGAGCACAACTTCATTAATCAGTTTTTATTTTTATTTTAGTTTTTATTTTCCTTTTATTTATTTATTTCCCTTTATTTACATTTTTATTTATTTACTTTGTTTTAAATAGATTTTTATATTTTATCTGTATTTTCTTGTTTTATTGCAGGTTGGAGGAGATTGTCCATGTCCCACATGGGTGAAGAAAGAGGAGGTGAGTGTTTTTAATTTGTCACTGTTTATTGCTGTACGATGTTTGACTGATATGAAAAGATCATAGAAGTTTACATGAAACAAAAAAAAATTATTAAAAAGAGATTTTGATATATGTTTTTTATTCTTTAAAACAATTATAATGATGGAAAACTGCAGAGTTGCTCCATAAAAACTGCAAGTCCCAATAGAAAGAGTGAAAAAAGTGACCAGTGAAAGTGTTTGTTGTGTGTGATTTATCTTTCAGCTTCAAACCACTTCAGACTCAGGGCCCTAGCATTTTAGAGAAATAAGCTGCAGGATAAAAAGCTTGTGTGTGTTTGTGTGTTAACAGTTGAAGTCAGTATTATTAGCTATAATTATTAGCTCCCCTGTTTATTTTTTACCCCAATTTCTCTTTACCATAGAAAAGATTTCTTCAACACATTTCTAAACATAATAGTTTTAATAACTCATTTCTAATAACTGATTTATTTGATCTTTGCCATGATGACAGTAAATATTATTGGACTAAATATTTTTCAAGACACTTCTATCCAGCTTAAAGTGACATTTAAAGGCTTAACCAAGTTAATTAGGCAGGTTAGGGTAATTAGGCAAGTTATTTTATAACGATGGTTTGTTCTGTAGACTATCGAAAAAATGACCTTAAAATGCCTAAATAAAGCAAATAAGACTTTCTCCAGAAGAAAAAATATTATCAGACATACTGTAAAAAATTTCCTTGCTCCGTTAAACATAATTTGGGAAATATTTAAAAAAGAAATAAAATTCAAAGGATGGCTAATAATTCAACTGAGTTCAACTGTATATATACTGTGAATATAAATTAATAATAATAATTATATATATATATATATATATATATATATATATATATATATATATATATATATATATATATATATATCAATTTTCTCAATTCTCAGAATTTTCTTCTGGAGAAAGTCTTATTTGTTTTATTTCGGCTAGAAAAGCAGATTTTAATTTTTAAAAAACATTTCAAGTTCAATATTATTAGCCCCTTTATGCAAATTTTTTTCGATAGTCTACAGAACAAACCATCGTTCTAAATTAAATTGTCTAATTACCCTAACATGCCTAGTTAACAGGTAGTTCTAATTAATTAGTTAGTTCTCAGGGGGGCTAATAGTTCTGACTTCAACTGTGTGTGTATGTATGTATGTATGTATATATATATATATATATATATATATATATATATACAGTATGTTTTAGTAAAGTATAAGTAGATTTTAATATTTAAAAGAACGTTTATCTTCCTAATGTACAACATTTTTCTTTTATTTGTTTGTCAGTGGGTGCTACATCTACATCTACATTCTTCCTCAAGCACCACTTCTCCACCACAAAAAAAACTACTGAAACTAAATCAACATTCTTCAGCTTTCCATTAGCAATCGTCAAACTCAAAGTGAACAATTTCTCTCGCTCTGAAGCTTCAGTTAAGAAATCTGTGAGTAAATTATAACTTTAAACATTTAACAACAGTTTTTCATATGAACTGAGTAATTGCAGTTTGTGAATTGGCAGTCGTTTCACAGGAAATTGTTATTGGAACAGGCCCTTTCTTAACAAGCTCAGAGTGCTCATCATCTGACGGGTGTTTTGGTGAGACAGCAGGAGGAAGCTGCGTTTCGTTGTTTGTCATATTTATACTTTTTTTTTTCCAAATGTTTTTGAAATTCTTACTCCTGCACGCTTCACCTGCCTCTACTCTGATTTCTGGCAGACTGGTGTCACTAAAATCTTTGTGATTGTGAACAACAGCAAGAAAATAAAAAACGGTCCATTTGAAATGATTAGATTTAAAACATTACATTTGCCTCCTCTTCTGCATTTGGCTGATTCTGCATCCACAGACCAGATGAACAGCAAGAGGAAAAGGCAAAGCAGCAGCCAGCAAACACCGTCCACCTCTTCCCGGAGACCGGCCAAACGCTCTCGCAGAGGTCAGCACAGCTCAAATCTTCCAGATCTTATGTCTCAGTTAGGAAATGATTTGTCATTGAAGACACTGCAGCATGTTTTCTCTTCTCTCTTCATTTCTTGTGCTCTTCTGTGTTGCAGACTTGTACCTGAAGGGCCCGTTGCTGGGGCGAGGTGGATTCGGCTCTGTGTTTGCTGGGGTCCGCAGGTCTGATGGACTGCCAGTAAGAGATCTTCCCTCCTTCATTCAGACATGCTTTAGAAATGTTGCTGTCAGTAAATGTCATGTGTCTCCATCAAGCAGGTGTGATTTACTCTGCTTTTTCTGTCTGCAGGTGAACATCAAGTACATGTTGAAGGACCGGACCCCCGAGACACTGAAAGTTGTATGTTTTGTGTGAGTCTATGGTGTTTGATTCAGTCCTGGATATAATGGAGGGTTTGTCCTGCAGGACGGTCAGGGTTGGCTGCCGCTTGAGGTGGCATTGATGACCCGCGTCACTTCAGCTCCTGCTGCCCCAGTGTCCTGCAGCTGCTGGACTGGTTTGACCGTCCCAGACTGTACGTCTTGATCCTGGACCGTCTGGCTCCTTGTCAAGATCTTCAGAGCTTCTGTGAGAACGGCTGTCTGGATGAGCGTCTGGCCAAGAAAGTACTGGTGCAGCTGATGGCGGCGCTGAAACACTGCGAGAGCTGCGGCGTCCTGCACCAGGTCGTCAAGCCACAGAACCTGCCAGACAACCTCCACAGGACATCAAGCTGCTGGACTTCGGCTGTGGAGATCTGCTGAAGCGATCGGCTGCGTTTTGCAGGTGGGTTTGAGTTACAAAAGGGAACGTTCTGTTGATGTCTGTGAACGTCTGCTGATCAACTGAAGGGAATTTGTTTGTGCAGATGTTTGTGGTCTTCTTGTGTCTCTCGGGCACTCCTGCTGAGTGGTTTCGCAGACATCTCTACAATGCCACTCAGCTACAGTGTGGTCAGAAGGAGTGACGCTCCTCTGTGACTGTTTCCCCTTCAGAGGCGCACGGAGGGTCACGTCCAGAAGCAGACTGACCTTTTCTAGGAGCTTGTCAACAGGTAAGAGATTCAGACACATTCAGAGATGGCGTGGCCAGTGAGCAGAAGTGTGTTGTTGTGTGTTTCTGAAGACTGTGTTGTGCGTAAGTGTCGTCAGCTGATTCGCTGGTGTCTCAGTGCAGGGCTTGCTGATCGGCCCAGTTTAGATGATCTTGAACATCTGTCCACCCTTATTTCATCCTCCTGCTAATGTAGATGTTGGACTGAAGCAGCTGATCTTTATTTACACTGAAGAAGAGCAGAAGGTTGCTGAAGATCTACTGAGAGGTTTCAGCTGCTGTCTGGGCTTTCAGTGCCTTCCTACAGCTCCCTTTCTTCATGTGTTCAACACTTTTTCCCTGTGTCATTTCATTTTATCACACTTCATTGTAAATGAATAACATGTTTTCTTTGCATATGTGGATTTCTTCAGTTGTTACCAATATCTGATGAAAATTTCAAGTCAACGGCACCTTTGGAAATATGTTTTTAGAAAAAAATGGTGACGTGTGTGTGTGTGTGTGTGTTTATATATACAGTAGTTAGTAAGTTAAGCCCAAAATTATCCATTCCACTTCGCCAATTCCGATTTAAAGTTAGTATTTTTCAATCAGCACTTTTTGCCACACGAGTTCCTCCCAAAAGATGAGACGACAATGTATTAGATGCATCATTTTGATGAAGAAATGTTTCTCAACTTTTATTTACATTTACAAACAAAAACTTTGTCAGAATTTGCCAGAGTTCTGAATATTTTGAGGCTTGACTGTATATATTTAGTAGGGGTGTCAAAGTTAATTGTTTCTTTGGTGCACCGTGATGCAGACGTGAACAATTCAATATCAGTTC